CCTTCCCCGGGAGAAACAGGCAGCAGTGCTCCCGCCTCTGCGCTCGCCTCGAGGGTTCCCGCCGCGGCGCTGGCAGAGGGCTCCGCAGGTAGTACATTCACCGCCTGGCTTGGAGACCCAGGCAGACCCTGTCCCGCTCCTCTCCAGCATCTTATTTAGCTACAGAAAGGAAACTGGGAAAACTTTTCAGCCCCCCTCACCATGGGGTAACCCTCTTCCGCGCCCAGCGGGGAGCAGTGAGAAACCACGCGGGGTTGCGGCCGCCCCCGGCCCTTCGGCGAGGCCGGGAAGGAAGCTGAAAAGTTACTTTTTTATTATTATTATTTATTGTACTCGCTCTTTCTTTCTTGGGAGTCCCCTGCGCTTGCAGCAGGTAAACGCTATCAATCCCAGTCTGCCGCTCGCCCCCTTCTGACCCTCCTTTTGGCTAGATTGATTTTCCCCAAATACACACGCATTATCCATGCACGCTTATATGTATAGATGCATATATCTATGATATATATAGAGAGAGATACATACATTAACATCCATACACGTATGACACGCAAAAAAAAGAGAAGCAGACCACCGCCGGGAGGCACCGGCGCAGCCCCGATCGCGGCGCAATCCGCAGGGCAGAGCGGGGCAGGCAGCCCGCACCCTCCTTGGCTGCCTCCCTGCCGGCCTGCCCGGTCCTTCTCCGCTCCCTGCCTCACGGCTACACTTCACCACTCCCCGTGGGGAGGGCGGTCGTCTCCTTGCTTTACAGCCCCTTCAGATAAACTTTCTAAATGCTGCTAAGGGAAGGCTCTTTCCTCCGTCTCTCGAACCTCGCCATCGCCGCCTTCTCTTAAGAACAGAGGACATTTTAATTGACGGAATTTTTTAAGCTCCAGTTACAAGCTCGAAATGGTATTTTACTGCATGCCACGGGCTCGATGAAAAATATTAACATATCCAGCTGAGGAGGGAGAACCCCTAAACGCATACATATGCGGAGACACCAAAAAAGCCCCTGACTCTCCCTTCCCTGTCGTGTTTGTGTCCCCCTCCCTCCCCCGAAGATGGAGACGGACCTTCGCCTTCGGCTGTCAAACGCGATCAGGGCGCTCCTTTAAGTAATTTCGGGTTTTCTTAGCGTGAGAAAAGAGACTCCCAAATGGACTTTGTGAATTGATTTTATGCACCTCCATCAGTCTCTGATAGAAAACTGCCTGTTTTCTCTCTGTGCGCGGCGGAAACAAATGTCCGAGGTTCGCCTTTCACAGATACCAGTGTCGAATTGATGAGAATCGGAAAGCCCCGTTGTGATACGCAGATGGTGTAAAACATCCATCCCTAAACCTCTCCCTCTCTCCAGCAATGCCGCGGAAGAGGGAGCACACACGTTGCAGA